CCCCCCCCCCCCCCCCGTATCCAGGAGCGCGCACTGGGTTGGCCTCTTTCAATCCGAACCGTTCCAGAAGTGTGTTCACGTAGTGCTCCTGTGAAATGGCCAGGATTTCTTGCTCGTAGTCCCGCTCCACGTCGATCCCGAGGATCCGCTTTACCTTTCCCATGTCGGTCATCTCGAATCGATCCGTGAGCTCCTTCGTCTTCTGGTCCACGAGCTGCTGATCTCCTCCCGTGATGAGAATGTCGTCTACGTAGACCGTGAGAATTACGATGATGTTGCCGCTAGGATACGCGTACACACAGGGGTCGGATTGAGTCCTTTTCCATCCGAACACCGTGAGAGACTCGTCCAGGGTGTCGTTCCAGAGCGTCGGCGACTGTGATAGGCCGTAGAGGCTCCGTTCTAGTTTGTACACCATGAGTTCTCCTGTCGCGGATGTACCGGGGNGTCTTCTGGTCCACGAGCTGCTGATCTCCTCCCGTGATGAGAATGTCGTCTACGTAGACCGTGAGAATTACGATGATGTTGCCGCTAGGATACGCGTACACACAGGGGTCGGATTGAGTCCTTTTCCATCCGAACACCGTGAGAGACTCGTCCAGGGTGTCGTTCCAGAGCGTCGGCGACTGTGATAGGCCGTAGAGGCTCCGTTCTAGTTTGTACACCATGAGTTCTCCTGTCGCGGATGTACCGGGGGCGGGTCTGACGGACACGTCGTCCCAGAGGGCGTTAAGGAAGGCACCGACAACGTCCAGTTGGTAGATGGGCCAGTTGTTGTGGCAGCCAATGGTGCACGTCATGCGAATGCTCCCGATACCGCATGCTGGGGCGTTGCTGCGTCCGTAATCCTGTCCTGGCTCTTGACGATGTCCTCCGACTACCANTGTACCGGGGGCGGGTCTGACGGACACGTCGTCCCAGAGGGCGTTAAGGAAGGCACCGACAACGTCCAGTTGGTAGATGGGCCAGTTGTTGTGGCAGCCAATGGTGCACGTCATGCGAATGCTCCCGATACCGCATGCTGGGGCGTTGCTGCGTCCGTAATCCTGTCCTGGCTCTTGACGATGTCCTCCGACTACCAGGCGAGCTTTGAAGCGTCCGTCCAGTTTTTTTCTTGAAGACGAATTTCGTTGCAAGGATCTTCTCACCCTTGGGAACGCTACTGAGGGGCACCAGATTGTAGACGTTGTGTTTCCGCAGATTGCCCATTTCCTTGCTGCACGCTCCTTCCATTCTTCGCGCTGGGGAGAGCTCATGGCTGCGTCGTTGGTGTTGGGGATTTCGATCGCTTGATTCGTCTCCTCCAAGATCCTGTGGTGATCGTGAGTGGTCGTGACGTAGGCGTGAGCACGCGGCACCGTGAAGGGGTCTTCCGCCACGTGGGCGAAATCCTCAGTATCGCCAGGGCATGGGAGCTGGGCTTAATCGGCTATCTCAGCCAGCTGAGTGAAGGAAAGACCGGATGGCTCCACGCGGCCCGTTGCAGCATGGGCTCGACCGCGGTCGTTCATGGTGACTTGCAGATTGGCAGCAACCAAGTTAACGTTGATCTGATCGTCGCTGGTGGGCTTCCCGCGCGTGCTAGCTCTGGTGACTTGCAGGCGCCGCATGCCGAAGGATCCAGTTGATGCAGAAGTGTCCGGTTCAGACGGGTTCGACGATGATGGGCTGGGGCTAGATGCGTGGGTTTTGGATGACGGTCCAGCTGGCGTCGATGAGAGATGCGGTGATGGGGCGTCCCCGTTGCTGAGGTCTTGCCCGTTTCATGTTTGTCCTTGTTCCCGTTCAGTTCTAGGCAAAGCTCCTCCCGAGCGAGATTGTCTTGCTGCATCTTCCNTTGGATGACGGTCCAGCTGGCGTCGATGAGAGATGCGGTGATGGGGCGTCCCCGTTGCTGAGGTCTTGCCCGTTTCATGT